ACCTTCATCTTTTAGTGAGCCTATGCCTCTGGGCTGTGAACTTCACAAGTGTTTCTCAGTTTTTTTCTCTCTCCTAAGGTGGGACAAGATGGCTAGAGAAGGCTGGAGTTGGGTATTTCCCTCCTCCCTTGTGGAAGGCTAGAGCTGACTGGAGGTCAGTTCCCCCGGGTCAGTTAGGCTCTGCTTAACTAGTTCTTCCTGAGGGCAGACATTGCTAAGAAGGACAGAGTGCTCTGGTGTATTTCCACTTGGTTCCTTTTCTCCTCATCCTGCCAAAGTAGAAGGGATTTTTTTCTGATATTTACTGTGAGAGCCTAGTCCACCTCTTGGAGGTAAATTTCACAAAATGATGGGGCGCCTCTGTGACTGAGTCCCCTTGAAGTTTTTAACTCTTAGAGTTGTCCACACTGAGCCTCGAGCAACACATCACTTCCACTTCAGGTTTTCCTACCCCAGCAATGGTCTCCGAAGCAGTTTCCTCCTGAGAGTTTCTGCTCCGATAAGATGAGACTCCCTGTGCTCGCCTGTCTGTCTCTCCAACCTGGGGGGCAGGAGTTTGCCCTGTGTCCTCCCCTCTCTTACAGATCCAAGAAGAGTTGCTGATTTCTCAGTTTGTTCAGCTTTTTACTTATTGTTAAGATACAGTGGCAATTTCTAAGCTCTTTATATGTGAAACTGGAAACTGGAAGTCTTAACTTTTTTGATCCAATCTCAAACTTCCAAAAAAGGCTTATATATTATGATATATAAGTAAAATGAGTCCCACTTGTGAGTGTGGGCTCTGGAGATAGACTACGTGGGTTTGTATCTTGGTTTTGCCATTTACAGGAGTTATTTCGTGTCTCTAAGCTTTAGCTCTTTTATCTGTAAAATGGGATGGTAGTATATCATGGTTTTGAGTGAGGATTAAATAATATAATAGTATCAAGTACATAATAAGCACGCCTATAATTTTTTAAATTAAACTATTTGAATGCATATGATCTGCTAGGTATTATCCTAGATGCTGGAGATACAGAAGTAGAAATTGGCTCCTGGGTTCCTGGAGCTGATGTTCTAGAGGCAGGAGACAGACTAGAAATATGTAAACCGTCAATGAACACTTTCTGATAGTGATAGTGTTATGAAGAAAATACATCAGGGTTATGTGATAGAGAGAGGGGAACAGAGGGCTGCTTTAGATTGGGTTAGTCCAAAAGGCTTTTCAGAGCAAGGGACACTTGCACTGAGAGTTCAACAGCGAAGAGCCAGGCAAGCAAAGATCTTTCTGGAAAAACAGCAGCACAGCAGAGGGAAGAACAAGAACAGGGGTTTAAAGGTGGAAATGAGTTCGGCTTGGTCAGGATTAGATGAAAAGTCCATGTGGCTGGTCATGGAGAATACAGGAGAGAAATGGCATCCGTACTGCTTTAAACACCACCAACACCTCTGGGTCTTGATTTAGGCGATGACCTCTCAATTTATAGTCTTTTATTGGGAGGAAAGGAGAGCCATTCTAGGGAATTCTAGCAATGACCCAGGGGTCTGGAGAAGAAGGGAGATGCAATTATCAGAGTCTTGGAATTCAGGGGGAATTGACCAGCCTGTTTTGAATAGGTTTTCCAGGTTGGGGTGGTGATCTTTGCTCTCCCCTATCCACAAAAAAGGGCAGTGGGGTTAAGTTGGATATGAATGACCAACTCAGAGGGTAAAGGGATATGAATTAAAAACTCAGAAAAAAGGTCCATACCTGAGTCTTATTGATACTGTGTTTTCCCCTGGCCTCTAAGGCTCTCATTCTTGTTGAAACCTATGTTCATTTCTCTCAGTTGACATGTTAGTCTGAAAATTCTCTTTTGTGTATTCTTTCTCCACGTCCCCCTTTTTGGATGGTAGAGACAAATCTCTTGGGTATAACTAAACATCCAAGAAAATGCTCAGCAAACACCATACGCTATCACTTTTAGCTTGTAAAAGCTCAGTTACTCAGCATACCATAATTAAGTCCTTTACCAGACATAAAACCCTCCCCACATGCCCAGTGAATATAAATTTCCATTGGTATTCATTTGACCTTGCCAAACTAGACTGAAAATTTTGTTCTGTTTGTGCCAAGGATAATTTTTTTTAGTGCTGTTCTCAATGATTATAGTTGAAAGGAGGAGAAAGTGATACCTCTGTAACTCAAACCAGATTCTTCTGCAATAATACATTGGCAAGTGACAATGTGATGATATTATTTTATGTGTGCATGCTTTTGTTTCCGATCTTATTGTTTCTGATGGCAGAACCACTCCGTTTGTTATTCTTCTGCTACACAATGGGAAAGGGAGGTTAGAGGATTGCTGACCTCCCTGCAGCATCACAAAATTCTTTTTTTTTTTTTTTTTGAGGAAGATTAGCCCTGAGCTAACTACTGCCAATCCTACTCTCCTTGCCGAGGAAGCCCGGCCCCGAGCCAACATCCGCGCCCATCCTCCTCCACCTCATATGTGGGATGCCTACCACAGCCTGGCGTGCCAAGTGGTGCCATGTCCGCACCTGGGGATCCGAACCGGCGAACCCCGGGCCACCAAGAAGCAGAACATGCAAAACTAACCGCTGCGCCACAAGGCCGGCCCCAACAAAATTCTTAATGAGAATCCTTGCTCATAGTGGGCCTCCTTGGTAATGTCCAGAAATAGCACCCATTCTCAATAATCTTTCCTTTCTGCATAGGTGGTGTTTTCTTGACAGATCTAAGCCCAGTCAAGGGTACCCTATGATACTAATTCAAAGATTGAGGGGTTGTTTGCCTATAGGGATTTACTCAGATGTCATCCTCCCTCTTTCTCAAATTCCTGGCTTTCAAGCAATTTCATTATTCTTAGCAACTCTAGCAGAGGGTAAGCAAAAGGCATTGGGGAGAAAATTCAGGCCACTTGTAGCTCCTCATTAACAGGTATGGGAAAAACCTGGGTGGGTGATAGAAAGGATTGAAATTGTCCAAAGTGAGGTCTGAGAATTCTCTAAAGGTTTTCATGAGTCCCACCTTAGCTTGTTCTTTCATGGATAATCGAGAGTTGACTATAAATGAGAAACAAGTCTTAATTACATGTCTTAACTACTATAAATGAGAAACATGTCTTAATTAAAACATGTCTGAATTACTTCAGGACTGACTAATAAAGAAGTTATATCCTCAAATCTTGAATGTAGATTATAATTTAGAAGAGAACCGTGTGTATGAGTGCAGGTGTGGGCACACTTGTATGTTATGTGTTTGTGCATGAGTGTGCATATACGTGCATGAGTTTTGTTTGTTTTTAATATGGGCATGAACAGATTAATCAAAACTCTTTTTTTCTAACCTCCAGCAGCTCATCCAGGTCTGAGCATTAGCAGCAATCTGGTACATGACCCATCATTCTTCCCTAGGCGTCAGGAGAGTTCCAAACTCTTTGGATCTTCCTTAGTATGTTTGTGCTCAATCGTTTAGACAGTCTCAACCCACTCATTCAGTAACCATTCACACCATGTCACTCTATTTCTTTTTTTCTTATACTAAGTCACAATCATCTCCAGGGAACCAGGATTCTCAAATTCAAATCCTTTTGTGCTCTAGAGCTTATCAAGTTATCAGCCTGCCCCTCAGTTTTCTATCCTGGCTTTAAGGGATCAATTGAATTACCTAAGATAGCAAATCTTTGGACAATAGATCCCATGAAGAGACTGAAGGGTCCAGCGGTGCAGGTGGCTAAATCCTTTTCTCCCAGCTGAGAGCTTCTTTATGCACATCGCATCTGTGATCATGATAAACAAGGTCACAGAGCAGTGAGAAATGGGAAACTAACTGCCTCGTGCATGCCAAGACATAGCTCCTGCTGAAGCGTATTGTGAGAACCACCTTGAGGAAGAGGACAGGTAGAGAAAGCTATATCCATGGGAGATATTACAGCCGTGGAGGTATGAAAGAGGCCTGGGGAATCTGGAAGGACAGCCTAGGAAACTGTTTCTTTACCTGGAACAGCATTAAGCAGGCTAAAATGTCTATGTGGGAATTATACTGCATGCTGTTTTAATTAAAGTTGATTGTATTCTACCTTGGAATTATAACTAATTCTGTTTGCTCTGAAAAATTCTGATTTTTTTTTTAAAACATCCTTTGCTTCAGCAGCTAAGATTTCAAGTCAAAGGGATTGGAAAATAATCCCATGTGTTTCCAATTGGGTGAATTGTTTGCTTGTCAAGTTATTTCCTAAGATTTTTTTTTTCAATTAACATATTAGATCCTTGAGGAGTTCTCTGGATAAATGCCCAAGTTGCTGTTTGGTTAAGTAGAATAGCACAAAGCCTGTGTTCAGGGAACCCAAACCTCTGCTTAGTGAGAAGGTCAAACCTCACCTTAATTATTTCCTTTAAAAATCAAAAGGTTTTTTACAATTATTTTAGAGGTTTTTTTCAAAAAATTTCTCTATCAGATAAGCATTTTGGCTATGGTGCCTGATTCTTGAGAAAAAACAAAAGGAAAGAAAAAGGACCCTATTATCAACCATATTTGTGATGCTATTAATGATCACTTTGTTTTATTCTGAAATTTCTACTTTAGGCAGATTACCTAGCATCTAGCTAGAAGCAAAACGAGACACATGTAAACTAGGCATATGTGGCCCATTGTGACAAACAGAACCTATGAGGAATTAAAAGAGGTAATCTTTCACAAGTGAGGGGAAAAAAAGTGTGTGTGTGTGTTGCAGGTGTGACTAGGGGAGACTTTGGGCTCAAAGAATGTATGTACAACTTCTAGATTTAGCTGTAGCTCAAATTTGAAAACCAAATATTTAAAACTTGGATCCTATTTCATCAAAGCTGAAAGAGTAACTGGAGAAGAGAACAAACATTTTTTTGAGTGAATGGTATTGTTAAGGTGAACCAGATCGCTAATTGGTAATGTCCGTAAAGAGGCAGGGCTGGCCCGGATATGGAACTATGGAGAGGGCGGGACTTGCCCGTTGGTGTAGAAAAATAGAGGGGAAGTCATCCCTCACTTACTGCAATGCATTCCTGCTCTACTAGTTACCGTTGATTTGTTTACGTATTTATCCATTCATTCCACCATTATGTGTTAAACTTCTACCAGTTGCCAGGCACTGAAGATACAACAATAAACCAGACAGACTTACATCCAGTCCGTATGCTACTTACAGTCTAATGAAAGATGCAAACGATTAATTACACAAGACATAACTATGCCATATGGCCCTTGCTAACATGAGGTAAGGCCAAGTAGCTCAGGGAGCGCTTAGTGGGACCACCCAACAACATCTGGGGATGGTGTTGAGCTGCCAGGAAATAAATTCCTTGAGGAAGCAGCATTTTAGCTGAGGCTGAAAGTGTGAGCCAGGTAAATGAGGATTGACAGCAAAGGGGGAGGGAGAAGAAAAAAGGGTTCTGATGGTATGTTGGAGGAACTAAAACAAGTTTTGAATGTCTTTGGTGTTCAGTTGGAAGAGGGTGGTAGAAAACGTGGCTAGAGGAGTGAGCAAAACTTACAGCCATGCTGACTTGAGACCTAACCTCTGGGATCTGCAAAGGCTTAGAATCAGATGGAACTGGGCTTGACTCTCAGCTCTGATCTTTGCCAGCAACTTGGGTAAGTCACCTTACTTCTAAGCCTTGTTTTCTTTATCTATATAATAGGGATAGACCTACTTCATAAGATTGCTTGGAAAATTAAATGACAAAATACGTCTCTACCTGGCAGATTGGAGTATTCAATAAATAACAGCTATAAAGGTTCCTTTTAGAATGGCCACATACAAGGGCATTCCAGCAAGGAATAAGATCTCAGAGAAAGTAAGCTCTATTGCTGTCATTAGCAAGGCTAGACCTGTCGGCATTTTGGAGTGGGGTTAATCTCCTGTTGTTTCTCAGATACTTATTCTTTATGAACGGTTAGTCTTATCTTTAGTTTCAAGAGAGCAAAGATTTCCTAATATAAGCAATGGAGTCGCTTGATAAAATATCATTTTAGGTAATGTGTCCATCTGCTATTACACTTATTATTCTGGTCATTCTTGCTGCTTGATAAGATCCTCAAATTGCCATCACGTCCCCCTCTGAACGGACATAAGAAATAAATGAAATAAACTATTGACCACATGCAAGGGTTGCTAATACATAAGATACCTTCTTTTTGTTATCAGCTTAAGACCCTGGTAAGCAGGAAAAAAAAATCCCAACCCTAGACAGTTATTATTACAGATGGTTTCTAAAAAAAGACGGGTCTGTTGAGATTCTTACAGTTCTTTTGATTGCTTTTCACATCACTGGGCTCAAACAAACAAAACCTCTCTCCATAGATAGATAGACAGTAGGAGAGCACTCACAGAGCAAAAAAGCTCTCCTGAGCCACAAAGACAAGCCTTTGGCTAATTTCTTTTAGCCCCTAAGGCTGTGGGCTTGGTTTTTCTGTATGAGCACTGTAACATACCTATAGCAAGAACTTACTCCATACCAGGTAAATGGGATCATAGAGATAAAGGACATATTTATGCCCTCCTGAAGGTCGTTGGTCTTCTGGGGGAAACAGCCAGTAAGTTAGTGTTTTATTTAATGTTTTCCAATGTCCAGTACCTGTGCTAAGTGCTTCATATATTTTATTAGATTTGATCTTCCAAACAACCCTTTGAACTAGACAATATTAACTTCAATTTTCAGATAAGAAAATTGAGATTTAAGAGTGGTTACTAGTGACTTGCCCAAGGAGAGATAGGTAATATGTGGCAGAGCTGGGATTGAGCTGGAGCAGTCTTACCCAAGATTCCCGCTTTTGAACACTAGCCATACCACCCCTGCATTCTTGATGGCATGTAAATAGGTTTCCATGATGCGTGGTAGTAAAGGTCCTAAGTACTGTGGAAGCAGTACTGACAGAAGGCAGGGAGAGAGGAGCGGAGAGTCGGGGCCAGAGTAACTTTCAAGGGAATAGCCTCTGCACCGAGTTTGGAAGGCTGAGCAGGAATGGCAGATGAAGAGCATGAAGAAGCAGATGCCTCTGACTCAGAGGGAGCAGCGTTTACACCTTCAAGAGGAGGACGGCTTCAAGGAAATGCAGGTAGCTCAGAAGAGCTCTTGGTTATCTGCGTCAATAAAGGAAACATGAGGGAGAGATGACCTAAAACTCATGTCTGTTTGGCTTCTGTATGGATAATGTTTTTATTTATTTATATCCTGCCTCATTTTGCAAAGGTTTTGAGGTAAAATTCATTACATGGTTTTTATGCAGTGACCTTCCTAATTAAGTTTTTCTCAGCACTGTCATGTTCGTCTTTGTATTCCCTGAGCCATATGCAGAGCGACTTGAATAAAAGTTGAATTAAATTTACATACTTTGAGCACGCTGTCAGTAGTTAGCAAGGGCAACTGGTCCCAGAAGCTTGGTGGGTGGCAAGAAAAGCTGGGCCAAAACCTAAAATTGCTTAGATCGAATACCGTATTTCACTGAATCTAAGGTGCCATTGATTACCAGGCATGCTGTTACTTTATGTATTACTAAGCAAGAAAAAATTCTGCAAATTAAACTACTGCACAATGTTAGATTGCAAGACGCAATCTGACTTCAGATATGTTAAAATATGAAAAAGGTGTCTTTAAAGAGATAATATATAGTGATGATACTACCTTCTCAATAATCAGAAATTCTAAAAAGTAAGGATACTCTGGTTGAGTGAGAGAAAATGAGCACTCTTAACACCTTTCTGGATGGCAATTTACCCTAACAATCCAAACTCTAAAGATTCTGCAAATACTTTGTCCCAGCAATTGTACCTCTAGGAATTGAGACTAAGGAAATAACATAAAAGTTGATAAGGATGTCATCACAGAATTATTTATAGTCATAAAAAATAAAAATAACCCCAAAATCTTCATTTTGTATGTATATTATGTTAGAGTTACACAATATATTAAAGTGACGATAGAGAAATATTTACTTAAGTGGAAAAACATTTTATGATACACCAAGTTTTAAAAATCAAGTAGTAAAACATTTGTTATAGGACAAAATTACTGCTGTGAAAGGAAAATACATTCACATTTCAAACTTACGTAAGAATAAAGTCTTGAATGATCTATATCAAAATGTTAACAGGGGTTGTCTGGAAGTAGGAAACAGTTGATCTTTTTCTTTTCTCTATGTCCTAATTTTTCAAAAACTGGAAAACCAAACATTAGACTAAGACTTTTAAGTAGATAATATGCAGGTGGATAATGGAAAATTAACTACCTCAACTTAGAAACTTAATTTTCTGTGGAATATGTTCTTGAATCTTTCCTGTTTCATAAATGAGTGGGCCACGCTGGTTCTGAGGGTCCAACCACTTCCAGGTGGTTCCAAATTAGGTCCCTGGTTAAAAGCTGTGGAGAAGGATGTTGGGTTCCCAATTGGAAATACCGCTTCATCACCTGGAGTTTTCCCTCAAAAGTTGGTACCGAAACGAGAAAATAAATACCGCAGACCACAACGATGCCAAAAAGTCTGGGGTACTCCAACTTTGTGATGTAATCTTAGTCTGAGGCAAAGTGTGAGACCCTGAGCTTGGGCAAGGCAAATTCTAGGTCCTACATTTGGGAGGGAGGGTCGTGATCAGAAGTCAAGTTTAGGCCTCAATTTTTACCATGGCTAAAATGGCAAATCCTCTGGATCGGTCTCGAAACAACACCACACCTGCAACAAATTCATCAATTCTTCATAGATGAAGTCATTTCCTGATAGACAAAGCCTTGGCAGCCTAGACCCCATTTTAAGGATAAAGCACAACATTTTGACTGTACCTCTGGTCTTACCAGAGTCCACAGGAGACACTTTTTTTGAATGGTCAATCATAGCATTCCTGCTTGAATAGGCAAGACTGTATCTATGCATTCCACTTGTATAATTTATCTCCAAACTCATGAGTTGCTTTTTGATATATTTTTCAATACAGCTTTATATTTCTTTATTTATAGCTTGCTTTTAAAAAAATAACCTGTCTTTTATGCTTTCCAACACTGTATATCTAACTTTTCCTTAATTTAAAGCTCATTCTTTTAAAAGTTTTATTTTGCAATCAATTTTTATTTATTTTTGTGTAGACTTGGGTGTGTCATTTCATTTGTCAACTCTGCAAGGTTTGATCGATTTGTAGTCTATCAATCATCTATCTTTTTAATGTAATATTTGACACATGTAACCTAAAACAGTAAAACAAAGATTTCAAGCGACATGGAAGCTCCTCCCCTAGGTCAATGGGAGAGGGGACAGTATTTGGGGAAAGTTTGGGTATTCTATTAGGCATTTGCTATTTGTCTTCCTTGAATCACTTTCTTCTTCTTCTTGGATAACAGCACCCTCCCTTCATTGGAGAAACTTAATCTTTCCTCCCCATGTTGTCTTAATAGGGTTGCCAACCCCAGTGCTTTGCCCTCCTGGCTGCAGACCTAGGCCTGGCTAGTCAGAGCACCCCATTCACCCAGCCAGAATAATTGACTCAGGTCTGGGCACCAAATCCAAACCTAGCAATCAGAGAACTTCTCTGGAATTATTTATGTATGGACACTGAGAAAGGAGAATTTTTCTCTTCTTTTTCATCTTGGATTGTGAGTCATGGGAACACAAATCTGGAGCTAAACCTTACTAGCTCTGGCAGTGTGGGAGAGGCCCACTAGCAGGAGGGAAAATAAGGCGACTACCCAAAGAGAAGCAGAGCTAAGAGCGAGCACAGTGACAGACACATTTAATGATGAGTCCTTAGACACAGGATGCCACCTCCACCCTTTGATTTCCCAACAAAATCCCTTTCTTTTTCTTGTTATAAGCTTGTTGGAGTTGAGTTTCTATCATTCGAAACTGCCCAAGTTCTTGACTAATCCTTGGTCTTCTGATTAACTTCCAAATCATGCTAGGTACATACATATGCTCTCTGTACATGTAGGATTGGCTGTGCTCAGTTGAATTCTCTATCATAAGAGCATCCACATAGGTACAGTCTTATTAAAATCGCATTAGAGCATAGTTATTCTAAAAAGAATGTGAGTGACTTCAGCCCCAGTGTTGTATTTTCCACAAGTTGCAGCCTTACCATAGTTTTCCATGTCTATTGTTTCCTTTGCCCTTGTGTTCAGACTTTAGTTCTGAACTGGCATATTCACCCACTCCTGAGGCAATTAGACTCTCAATCTTACCTTGCCAAAGACCCAGCACAGTCTGAAGGCCTGGGTTTCCCAGAGTCCTATCTTCTTTGTTCTCAAGATTATCGAAGACTACTTAGAAAGAAAATGATCATGAGGCTATATAAGAAGCAGTAAGATTTTACAGAAATTCAGGCTGACTTTAGAAGGCAGCTGGAAAACAGGACACTCCTCCTCCCAGCCTCTCCTCTCCCAAACAAATGCCATATGTCTGTTCACAATGCATTCTGGCTCACTGCTATGTGGTTGACCTTCGATACTGAAAAGATGCCAAAACACTTGGGACCTAGTTTTCCTTTTAGCTCATTGTTACAGTCATATTTCATATGGTTGAAGGAAAAATTAAAATTATGATAAGCTGGCCTATAATTCTTTAAACTAGTCCATCAATGAGACCAATCTCTAGATACTTCATGATATTTA